CCCCCCCCCCCCCCCCCGCCTCCATGCACAAACATAAATGACTGGGAAAAACAGGGTGAAAAAAGGATAAATACCAGTTGTAATGCTCCCTAAAATGCAAACGGTAGGAAGTGGTTCTCCTTATGTAGTCTCCCCTGTCCATGCCAGCTCTGTGCATTAACCATCTGGCAATGTTTTAGGCTTGCCCTGCATCCACTTTGCACAGGGCAAGGCAAGATAGGAAAACCAAAATCCCAGATACACATTTTGTTAGACAAGATTACATCCATCTGAAATTGTAACTGTGATTGCCATTTTTTCAAGTATAGAAAAGCCAGGACACGTTTCAGCAGGGCTCACTAGTCAAATCCACAGTTTACCAGCGTCCAGTATCTGAACTCCCACACCATGAAATTCTGATTGCTGGAAATATGCCATGATTGTCATTAAGTGATTCAGGAAGCTCACCTAAAAAGTACAACAGAAACAAGTTTGAAGGAGCAGGTATAATTAACAGGAGAACTTACATGGAGATTCAGGACAAAGACTCCACCTGTGCCTCTTGACACCTGTGATTAATACCACACCACTAATTGCAAGGCCATATTCAATTTCAGATACTCGTTGGCCTTAAACTGTCAGACAGAAATTCTTTTTATAACACTCATAGAAGAATAATTATTATAGCAAAATATAGTAACACTCGTACTTCCTAAATAAATCAAGTCCCTCAGAAATCTTTTCATTTAAGAAGATATGGTAAGGACTGGGAGGAAAAGGAAGCAAACCTAAAATCCTAACCTCTTTGATTTTTCTGGAAAAGAAGAAAAAGAAGAAGTGTAAAAGAATTTTTTAAAAACATAACTCATATCAGAGTTTAATAGGTGTCTATATAAAGATCAGGCTGGCATGCTCATTCCAGTGAATGCATTTGTGCTGAAAAGAGAAAATTCAGAAGAACAAGCCCTGTTCGATATCCGTTAGGACTAATGCTTTCCTGCCAACTTCAAAGAAATAACCAACAAAAACGAGAGTAAGTTTGGGATCTGTTCTAGGCTATGGCATTTACGTAGGGCTTTTCCGAAAGGACCTCTTACCATGCTAAACTAGTTAGCTAGGAAGGCAACCCGTACAAACTGCTGTTAAGATCAAGGTGATGCATATGAAGGGTATTGAGTGTTTTACACACCCTGCAAAATGGTCCCTCTGAGTACAGCAGTGACAGCTGTCAATCAGATGCCTCCCTGTCGAAGTTTTCTGGCCTGCAGGTACCATCACACTCCTCTGCTCACGGGTGTAAGAAGCTTGTTTCCAGCATTAAACTGACAAGATATTGATCAGGCAGGCTCAATAATTATGATGAATCAGCCTCACAGAGGGAGCTATTTTTCTGGCTGGATGGCATGAGAAAGCTGGTCATCGTCCCCCTTGCATTAGTATGGCTCAATCAGTCGGGTGGTCCAGGGTGCAGGTGAAGTTTATTCCACTGAAGGAGGAGAGAATACAAAAGCACAAGGAAGGGGAACAGTTCCTCCTTGTCAGCCTAGGTGCCCAGAGCATGAGCTGATGTAAAGTCATTTTCATCCTGTCTGGATTGTGCCCAAGGAAAAGACATAATTATTTTGCTTAGAAAAAGAAGGAATTACACTCTACGAAGAAATTACCCTCCCCGGTGACAGATTTCTTCTCTGGAAAGTAATGTTCCTCTGCTGAGCTGTGCTTTGCTTTGAGGTTTCTTCCTCTAAATCTTCCTGTCTTCCAGGTCCATCCAAGTAGTACTCACTGTTAAATGCTGTTAGCCACATGAAGTCCCAGTTTTTCAAACATCTCACACTGTACCTATACAAGTCAATGAAGCACATAACCAGGTTGCAGAAGAATGTGGATCTGCTATGTATGGCAGTATTCCCATTGTTGGGGCACTTTGTAGGCTGTAACAGAGTTTTCACAAGGGTTGCATAATATTTTTAATATGTACTCTTGCAGATACTCAATTGACAGGAGCAGCGATCCAGGGCGGTTCTTTTATGTCGACATTGCATCAGGAGCACTGATGACTGCGAGACCTCTTGACCGGGAGGACATTTCTTGGCACAACATCACTGTGCTGGCCATGGAGCTGAGTAAGGAGAACACAGACTGTACATAGATTAAAGAGATAAAATAGACAAAGCAGGCTGAGAGATCTGAGTTCAGCAATTCACATGCTCTTATGCACTGAGTGGGAAGTCGTATTAACTGAATTACTCTTCTGACATCAACAAGATTGTATGTTATTTATTTTTATGTTCCTTTTCACAGAGTGGTGGGAAGAGTAGAGGCTGACAATCAAATGCAGAATGCTGCTTTTTCAGTTCATTTGTATTCCAGGGATTAATTTAAAACTCTTCCTGCTACCTTTCTGCAAGAGCTCTATCACTTCAGAAGGGCTGGACAGCTAAAGCAGACACTGCAAAGGTTGCACAGTTGCCAGACCTGCCAGTGCTACCTGGCAGGACTGTGTGGTGCAAGGACTGGTAGGCAGGAATGATCCTACACTGCTATGTAACTAGTTGAAATCTGCTCTGGTTCAGC